TGCCTTATAAATTTCAATTCCAGGATATCCCTTTTAAGTGAAACCGCACTGGTCTGAAACTGTTTTGCTAGCATCCAAGGCCAGATATGAGATTAGTATGACCTGAGGGGTCAATGGTCATTGACATTGAAATTCCATGTTCAATAGATCATGTCAATAGAAAGAGATCAACTAACGGATGTTACTGGGAATAATATGACTTGAATTGTTGCATGTTACTGATTTATCATCTGAATTCATTAATTTCAGCGTGTCCCTCCAAAACTTTGTAAGTACAGTTGTCAGTAGCTTTTCACACCACGCTTGACATGAGATGACTGCTCTCCTAGGCTTGGGGTGGCAATGTCAAAGTTTTAGTGATGCGCGCTTAATCATAACACAATTAGTTTCCCCATTCCTGTTTTAGCCTATAATTGTCTGCTAATCTAATGTTAACCTGACTCGCGATGTAGAGTTTGGTTTCGACTGACGAAGGTAACCTGTTTCTCCCAGATTTAGACCGTAGAGTTGTTCACCAAGATTTACTAAAATTTTGATCGTATGTGACTGCTGTCAATTTCTCCCCCTTTTTTGACCACCCGCAAATTTGTCCGCCTTCCTACTGAGGTCAGCGTGGGTCAATCGTTGAAAGAGGGGTTCGTCCAGCTGTCTTACCAGATAATTCGTTTCTCTCAGCAGGTCCATGTTTGTGCATTGTTCGCGATTCCGCTGAGCTGAGGGCTTGCTGGGCCAGCGCTCTCCAATCCGACGGGACTGGATGTGAGATCTACTGCCCACGCCCTTGGCTTCCTCTGGTCTACATTAGCAATTCACACCTTGCCTACTGATTTGCAATGAAGTATCATACCCTACTCGGATGTTTACGATAAATTAAGTGTAATTTCAATGCAATGATCACTAAATGTTATTTAGATCATTTGAGAATGTGCCCTGTGATCAAAAGCTATCTTGTTTGATTCCCTCATATGTTAGATGTTGAAACGAAGTTGAAACTCAGACCTTTGGTTTGTTATTGCTCTGAGTCCTTTAAACAAAAGATATTTCATCGAATCTATACGATATCTGTAATTTAAGCCAACGCAGAGAGTTAGATGATAACCATTTTTAAATGCTTGTAATTATGAGCTTAGCGGGGATATGACCTTGTTCCACACCTGACCGGCGACCATTCTCGACTCATCGACTCATCGAGCGTCGACTCATCGACGCTTTTGGCGCCGCCTAGTGGATGTAGTTGTAGGTTACACGGGCTAGGTGGCAGTAGAGTGCCACGCATCTCATTCGTACCAAAAGCTTTCATTTATGGGGTCGATCTTTGTAAAGACTGAATTAAAACGTTTTGCTTCGACATCCTCCTCCCTCTTTCTCTCTCTCTCTCTCTCTCTCTCTCTCTCTCTCTCTCTCTCTCTCTCTCTCTCTCTCTCTCTCTCTCTCTCTCTCTCTCTCTCTCTCTCTCTCGCTCACTCACTCTCTCGCTTACTCATTCTCTCGCTCACTCACCTTCTCGCTTACTCACTCTCTCGCTCACTCACCTTCTCGCTCTCTCTCTCTCTCTCTCTCTCTCTCTCTCTCTCTCTCTCTCTCTCTCTCTCTCTCTCTCTCTCTCTCTCTCTCTCTCTCTCTCTCGCTCACTCTCTCTCTCTCTCTCTCTCTCTCTCTCTCTCACTATGATCATTCACATTCGCCCTCTCACTCACCCACTCATTTCAGTCAGTCACACGCAATTGCGTGCCGACACGAGGGACCTCTTGCGGCAGTTTAGGGAACCAGCTTGGTCTATTTCACGCTAGGCGGCACTGCTAGTACTGTCAGCTGCATCTGAGCGCTGTCGGAGTTTGTGCCGAAGGCAATGGATCTTGTAGGTGGCGCTAGTGGTGCTACCGTTGGTGCGTCAATTGACCTGTTAATTGTTTAAGGTCATGTTTAAGGTCAAGGTCATACATTTTTCATTTCGCGCGGACTACAATCGCTCAGTTTAGAGAAAAGCTCACAGGTCCAACATCAGCTAATTAGGATCTGCATCTCGTTCAGTAAGGTGGCCTGGGGACAATCTGACCTGAATAGAACAAATTCTTTATTCTACATGAAGGACATGAGCTGCGGTAATTTCTCGCTTCCCTCCGTAACCAACTCTAGGCGTGTGCAAGCAGGGTGACATTTTTGACATAATCACGTCACATTGAACGGTAACTCGCTTGATGTTTATGATCCATTGTCTCAAATGATGCATCAATTTAGCAACCGTAACATTTCCACGTTATTCTTTGATATACCTCGAAGGGGGAGCTGGCATCAATATCCGTTAGGTACTGATAATGCTAGGAGAGAAAGGGGGATTGATTGACAGGTTACGAACAGCGATAAATTTATAACGATTGAAAAGGTGATTCAGATTTGTATCGGTTATATGAACGCGAATCACGAAACGACTCAATGCTGATTTAATAACAACCCGGAAGGCGATTCAGACCCCCAGCGTTCTTGTTCTGGCGCTGAGCTGCCGAAGGAGCAGAATAATGTTTGATGTTTATGTTTACTCTCCTTATCCGAATGTAACTGAACACGTCACGACTTCTTGGGCCGCCTTCGTATCAAACCTTATCCAAATGGTGAATCTGTCCCAGGAATGTGGCGATCCTACGCTGACCGTCGATTTATCTCGAATAGCACTTGTAAGAATTGAGAATCGATTGACAGACTTGGAATTAACACTAGATTGACAATGGATTGATACGCTGGCCTACCGAGTTCAAACTAGTTAGATTATGAAACAACTTATGCTGACCTGCTAGCTTCAAAAAAAAATGTATCTGTGATGGTCGCGTCGTGAGGGGTGATCATTGCATTTCCGTTGATTGATGATCAGACGGCCGTGGCGTAGTCCCATTTAACTCCAGTGAACCTGTGGTGTGAGGCCGGCGTGAGGCCGTGTGATCGACGATGACGACTCAATGATAATTACGTTAGCGGTCTCTGTGAATCCGAATCAGCAACATATCTGGAGTAACCCTCCCTTCTTTTTTTTTTCAGACAGATTGTTAAATTTTCACGCTATATTTACAAACGGGCGATACAGCAGTGGTCAAGCTCAAGTCCTAAACGGTGCATTGCGATCGAGATAGTCAACTCGCCATTCTCGATACAAACCTAGCCTTAAACCTAATCCTAGCTCCCTCACCGCAAAAAAAAGATTAATTACAAACATCGCCAATTGAACTGTCATGACGTCATCTGACGTAGTTTGACGCGTCAATGGTGACCAGCGCCCCAAAAATGATACCACCTGACCTGTTCCCCTCCCCTCGAATCCCACACCCCACTGCGGCCGGACCGCGCGCGTGATGGCCGACAGATAGTGCCACCCCAATACCAATGTAATGGTGAGCCATTAGCCTACACTGACCATTACTAACCCGCCCCGGCTGTCCCTCTAACCCCTCTGTCTATCCCATAGACAAGGCCGGACCAGTCAGGCCCATTAGCCCCTCCCCGTCTTTACAAACAGACGCCCCACTGCCGCGCTGCTCGGTCGGGAGCGGAATGTAGCGACCATCTGCCCTCCCTTCCCTGCCGAATAACACTCCCACGATGTTAAATCCATTACCCTCTAATGGTGGCTCAGGTTAGACCCCAGGGAGTGGCATTTGTAATCCAGATCAGAGACATCCGATGGGTAAATGGGAGGTGAATTGTCCATGACGGGGAGGCAGTCTTGATGAGGCGGACAGATGAGATGACTCACTTGACAGTGTTTGATGATTGCTGTCCACTCCAGCTGAGGTCCGGTGCAGTGATGATCCGATCAGCAGAGAGGCCGCTCCGGCCGAAGCCGGGCGGGGCGGTGTCCCGCGCCGAGTCCCGAGGCGTTCTGTCTCTGGTGGTCGGCCTCCGGTGGTCGGTCTCGGGTCTGTCTGAATCTCGTGGTCTGATCCCGTAGTCTGTTCCCCTCTCTCCTTCTCCGCTGAGTTTTGTTCGCCTGTGATTTCCGGGCCGGAGGTTCCGGGCGTCGCCGGGCCTCCCCGACCGGGGCAGAAAATTGGCGACATCCCGTCTCGCATCCGGAGTCGAGACCGTCGTCCTCCTCCTCCATTCCGCCGGAACGTGACGTCTTCCTCACTAGCACGGCTCATCCGTCTCAGCTGTCTCCTGCCGGATGACGTTTTCACACTCGATTTTCGCCGGATGTCGGTCCCTGCCTGTGCCGGACGGCTGACCGCAACGGCATCCTCCCACCTTCCTGTCAGCTGCGTCGGCAGGATGTGCGTGGCGCCAGGCGTCGGGAGGCTGGTCGAGCACCGGGAGCAGGTGTTTCCGGCTGCGTTACGTTTGTCGGCGGCCACTGCGCCGGCCCGGATGGGTGTGTTGGAACTCCACCCTTCGGCGAGCCTTTGATCTTCGCTTAATGGTGACCGGCCGACGGTCGGGTAATCGTTTGGTCGACTCCCTCCCCACGCCGGCTCAGCGCCGCGGCAGGCAGTGCGATCGTCCTTACGTATAGAGTGTGTGAGATGTCCTTTTTGACGTACGGAGAAAAAATGTCACAGCTTCCAGCTGTTACATTACCAAACGTTTCTGTTTAGAGGGTGGAGGGAAAACATGTTTATATTTACTCACTCACTTGCTTACTTCAACTTACTTATTTTCTTAAACCATAGGCAAGCTGATTGCGTTGTTTATTTATTTATTTCACTTATTTTATTTATTTTACATTGCAAGTGTAACTTTAAGCGGTGGCTGACCGATAAAGAAGGTTAACGATGGAACAGATACGCACTTGCAGCTACGAGTACATATGGACGGTTACGTTCCGAGTGTTACGTGCTGATTACCAGTTTCACGAATTTGTTATTGGCGATGTCCTATAAAATATCGATTCCTCAATTTCGATCTTGCCTGCCACTGGAAGAAGGTTACCGATTGCTTTTTTGTTTCAAATTGTCAGAATCTAAAGTTTGTTTGCACAGGGAGTTCTGTTTTTAACCGATAACAGCAAACACGACTAGGTTTCTGGTGTATATTTCACAGCACAATCAGTGCACTGGTAAGCCCATCCAGCTTCCGAGCCTCTGTCTACCAGGATCGATAGGTATCGATTGATCTGTATACAGAGACCTACAGGCATCCGGAGGCTTACGCTCGTAATAATATACACCTTTGAGGCGGTGCTTCATTTAGCGTCCACCGCCACCGCCGCCGCCGCCGCCGCCGCCGAAACCACCGCCGCCGCCGCCGCCACCGCCGCCGCCGCAGCAAGCCTCAGCTGAAAAATGAGAGAAAGAACGTCAGGTCATCTTCATTTCAGCTAGTGTGATTGTGTATAATAAATGTAGATTGATGTAAGATAGCGCTGTTTTGAGGCTCATGATTAAAAATATAAATGTTATTAAAAACTCAAGCCTCATGCTAAAGTATATTTACAAAAAGGCCAAAAGAATTAGACAATTCATTTGACCTTTTTGTTAATATACTTTAGCATGAGGCTTAGGTTTTTAACCACATTTATATTAAATGTAGATCCATTCATTTGTGTAAAACAGACTCAATGCATTGTGATAATCAACGATCAGGTTCTACTCGAGTCTCGAATGACATAGGTACTAGACTGTTGAGACTGACTACAATCCTATAGCTCTAAAAATGAAGGCCATCAACTGAAGTTGGGTGGCATAAGGACGATTGTTATTTGTTCAACTCACGGGCGCCTGAGGCTGCCGCCAGCAGCGACAGAAGGAGCACAGCCAGGAACAGGGGGCTGAACCACTGCATGGTCAACTCTAAGCCAACTGCGGTAGCAGCGGGCTCTTTATACCACCGGGATAATCTGCTCCAGGGGCTCCGACTACCATAGAGTTGTGGCGAGGTGCGGCGCCCCTGGACAACCCGCTCGTGACAGCGAGTAGATACCGATTCAGGGAAAACAGTGCCTCCCGGGCCTCTTTTGTCGCGGCACCTTGCCACGTGATCCATGCGAACTTAAAAAGTAGTAAGCGATCATAATTAGATGCCTTTCATCGCACGTCGTCTAGCATTCTCTCGAGCACCATGAACTAAACCAACATGGTGTACTCTCGGGCGCAATTTGGATGCCTATCCACACGCCAATTTTCAGTGCAATCGCCCCAGTAATTGACGAGTTTTGTAGTGGGAGTAAACTTGACACCTCTTCATATTGCATTTTGCACGTGCAGTGTGGGTCACCCTGTACATCGAGAGTGGTCCGATAATTGAAAGAAGGGATGCAACTACCGTAAATACACTGGCGGATCCAGGGGGGGGCGGCAGGGGCTAAACCCCCCATTCGAAACTCGACAGGGGCGGCAATATAAATTAGCCCCCCCCCCCAAATGCACCGGGATTGGTCATTAAAATGATTGATTGCTGGTAAGTTCCAGCCTTCGATAATGAAGTTCCTTTAGAAACTCCTTTCCGCTGTTAACACGCGCACCGACGGGGGATATCCGCCCCCCCCCCCCTGAGGCGAAATTTGGTACGACTATTCTCTCATCAATTTTACACATGGAAGTGGGAAATAGCTCTTATTAAATGGGGATGAGAGTGCAAAGTAATTTTCATTTGGATGTCAGTTCGCACCAAATAGACAAATTTTGGGATACTGGTGTGACCTGGACTGGAAGGTCAACCAATGATCTTCCTCTCGTTACTCACGGGCCACACGCTTGTTTTTTCCGCGAAGCTCAAGCTTGATCAGGGGCCGAACGGCAGGGGTGTCCAACCGACACCTCCCGGCCCGCGAAGGCTGCGCCAAGCACCGACCCGGAGTGGGCTAACTGGTCAACAAAAGCAATTTTAAGTGTTTTTAAAGTAATATAAAGGCACGGGTCGGGTGGGCTACCACTTCTATATTTTTTATTTTATTTTTAGTTTAAAAAAGAAATCGTCTCAGGGCTGTGACGAAAAATAAGTGGCCATACATGGAAACGCAGGTCTGGATCCGCCAGTGCGTACATACATACCTAATGACCGGATATCAATCAACCCCAGCGGTTACTGAGATATAAGCCTTTCAAAAGCGTTACAGGCCGGTGCCGGGCCGGGTCGGGCCGCTCGTAGGTACTGAGATTTTTCCGCTACTTAAAAAGGCTCGCTCGCGCTTCGCGCTCGCTCGTAATGACACAAGTTTGAAATCAACTATAAAAACTACCCAAGAAACATGTAAAACTTGAAAGTGAAACAAGGTCATCTAAGGTCAACTGCCTGTGCCTGATCTTCGTGTGACCTTGACACTCACCAAAACACATAGGACAAACATCATTTCATATATTGGAACGCTTACAACCACAAAAAAGACTGGAAACGGGCACGGATAATAGCCGTTTTCACGACGGGCTATCTGGCGAATGCACCTAGTTTGACCAAAACTGTACCAAATATCTTTTACAGCAAATATCTTCAAATTATGGATTCATTTCAGTGTTGTAATCGATGATAATGTCTGATACTATGACAAAGAAGGCATATACCCAAGCATTTTATAACCATCACATTTTATTTATTCTAATCTATTTATGGTGGCAATAAGGCAACACTTAAAGCTGCTGAGAATCGCATTTGAATCATTTAGTGATCTCAAACACCCAATTGACCTTTTCAAAAGCACCTATATCATGCAAAGCGCCTCAACATGATGAAAACAGTTATGTTTATGTATTCCGTATGATTTAGGTGCATTCCCAAGCCAGCACTCCGCAACCATTTTGCCGAAGCTGTTAAAAAACAATAAGCAAACAAGCAAACAAACAAACAAACAAACAACAAACAAACAAACAAACAAGCAAACAAATAAACAAACCCCTGGATAGCGACTTGGATCAGATCGTTATGAAGAGATATGATGTATGATATGCCTTTGCTAAGGCCTCTTAACTTCTATGCCGACTTCAGCGAGCGTGTTACGTAGTTAAAAACTTAAAATTGAGCAATACACCACCAACGCCGCACCATGCTCGCCACAACACCTCATACGGAGTGGGCCTCCCGGTAGATAATCCAACCGGTTCCAGGCCCCTCATTGGCTGAGCAGTGCTCACCCATCGCCCACCGAGCCCCTTCATTGGCCAACAGCGCAGCTACATCGCCACCATCTGAGAAGTAGGTAACCGCCTTCACACGGTCTTCCCAGCCGTGAACACGATTCGTTGAAAAGTATGCACTATGGTGGCGTGCAGAGACAGAAATGTATGCGATAGAAGAGGCCATGATGTGAGGCGCCACTGTAGGTCATTGGAAGGGTAGCTGGACGACTGCTTGTGGTCAGGGGCCGATCAAAACAACAGGCCCCCTGAAGCGACCGATGGGCAAACAGGGATGTCCCTGTGTTCACGAAGAGCTGCGCTATTGGAATTTCCGCAAAAACAAGAGGAGCACCTTGTGGTGAGCTTTATTCTATCGCTTGGTCAGTAGTTCCACGAAAGCTGCGCGATCAGTTTCTCCTTCGCACCAAGCTCCGTTTTTCCGAGACGAAGATGGGGCTTTTAATGTTTGCCAGGTAAAGATAGCGGAGATAAGAGCATCCATCACCTGGCTTGGAGACTTTCTATTGCGACATGCCAGTCTTCAGCTGTGGAGATATTTCAATTTACGCTGTCTCTTTTGAATATTCTTTACTAGGTATAGGTTATCGTAAGGCCGTACCTATATACGATATGATACCTAAATTTGACATACCTACAACAGTGCATACATCATTCAGTAGCGGCGGAACACCTTCAATTAAGCTGTCTGTGGCGCTGCCGACTTTTGGTCCCATTCTTTCCATGCAACGCCCATAGGGCTAATGTTAAAATGCCAAAAGCAAAGGGGGCACGGTGCCCCGGTGCCCTCCCCGTTCCGCCGTCTATGACATCATTCAGCATATGGTAATGGTGTTAGTACAACAAAAAGGGTATGTAAAGTTGCATGTGCTTTGCCACATTGAACAATGAACATTGCTAAGATGTGACGGGTTATGCTTTATGAAGCTCAACGAATATCGATGCGATGCATATATTGCTGTGCGTGAGCACTTACTTGAAATTCTAGTAGGCTATCGAATCTTTCAAAATTAAGACGGCTGTTTGATACACATTTGGTGCATATTAGATGCAGATTTGGGAAAAATTAGTTTCATAGTTTTTTTTTGGCTTTCAGCTTACTGCTTAGGATGAAGCAATCATTGATCATTTGAATGATTTTACAAGTTAACAGACGCCAACTTTCATGCAAGCATTTACCTAAATCAATTAAATTGAAATATAGGCACATTAAAAAACATTCAATTAGCAATTCAACTAGCGTAGTCACAAATCATATAGAGCTTCCAGCCACACATTTTTCATTTAATTCTGGTACAGTGCAGACATCTACGAACCAACAAGACCAAAAATATTTTAACGAAAATTTATGTCTGATTACTTGATAACTCATTCAAATGATCAACGATTGCTTCCTAAGCTGGAAGCCTAGCAAAAAAAAAAAAACTATGAGACTAATTTGACCAAATCTGCATCTATGTTATCGTCATCCAACTCTGTACGACATAGTCGTCGTGAAAATGTCTATTTTCAAGCTCATCAACCATAATGACTTCCGTAAATAATAAGCATGGTATGAGATAAAATAAATGCAAAGGAGTGAATGAATCAAAATGAATGAACTAATAAATGAATGAGGGAATGAGGAAAAGAATGAGTGAATCCAAATCAATGAACTAATGAATGAATGAGACAATGAATGAGGGAGCTGCAACTATTCGCTGTTATTGCCGTCAGCGCACTACTACTGCAAACACGATCACTGCAACAGAAGAGCGCCTTATCCCTTCCCTTACAAGTCCATCCGTTCACGGGGGTAGCGGAGGGGTGGGGTAGGGGGAAGCCAGGAGGGGCGGGGCCTGTGGCAGGGTAAGGGTACATAACCAGAGCGTCCTGCCGGGGGCCCCACACCTCGCCATGCGAACGATACTGGTGGTTCTCGCTCTGGCTTTGGCCGTAGCCGTCCAAGGTAAGATGTAAATCACATCTTCCAAGGTAAGTGTGATTGGCTAACTTTGTTTGTTGGGACTTCGGAGTGCATCGACAACTTTACTTTACAACATTCACTTACTTTGAGAGATTTGGAAGATGATATTCTGGTAGCATCAAGTGCTCATCGGGCTAAAACTGGAATTTACATAGAAGCAGGCGTACTAACAAATTGTGTGATAGATGACAAAAAAAAGACAAAAAGGCGGAACGTCGGCAAAAAGAAACTCACTGTGGGCTTACCGCCATAGTATAGTACACTACACTCTACTCAAATCCCTCTAGCGCTCCGCTTACTAAAATCATTTCCCTCAGGCGGCGGTGGCGGCGGTGGCGGCGGTGGCGGCGGTGGCGGCGGCCGAGGCGGTCCAGGAGGATATGGATATGGATATGGCGGATCCGGAGGTGACGGCGGTTATGGGTATGGTGGATACGGAGGTGACGGCGGATACGGCGGTGGATACGGGGGATCTGGTGGTGGATACGGCGGCGGATACGGCGGTGGATACGGCGGATATGGTGGATACGGTGGATCTGGCGGTCGGGGAGGCGGCCCGGGCCAACCGGGCCAACCAGGGCAACCGGGCAGCTAGGATAACGGAGAAGACCGGGACTGGGACAGCAGGGCCAGCCGATACAACCGGCGAAAGTGGAGGCGACCGGGACGGTCTCGGCTAACGGAGGGCCACCCGAGACCGCTGGGACAGCAGAACTGGTGTGTCACCGCTGATACCAGCCCAGGACCAGCTCACAAAACGCTGCCACCCAGCTGTCGCGACCACACACCAAATTCGACCGCATACGACCGAACAGA